ACCACACCTGGCTAATTTTTGTATTTTTAGTAGAGACAGAGTTTCACCATGTTGGCCACGCTCGTCTCAAACCCTTGACCTCAAGTGGTCCGCCCGCCTTGGCCTCCCAAAGTGCTGGGATTACAGGCGTGAACCACCGCACCTGGCCTAGCTCCCTCTTCTTAGATGCAGATTTCTGCACATGAGCTATGAGATCCACAGACATGTCACTGAGCTCCCCCACTCTGTCAGTGGGAGATGAATGGAATAAAGCCTGCTTGCATTATGGAGTGCAGCTGTGAGGACAGTTGTCATTTTTGTGTTTTCAGCTTAACCGTCCAGCATCTCCCCTCCCTTCCTATAGCAGGGACATCATGCCTTAGATATAACCTTAGTGGTGTGTAGTACCCACCGTGGAAGCTGAGGAAGGGAGGTATTCCCTGTCTCTCAGGCACACCCTGCTTCCAGCCCCATACCAGTCGGGAAGTGGTCATTGACCTGGGGTGGACTACCTGGACCCTTGCTTGGGGCTATGAGCCTGGAGAATGTGACACAGAAATGAAGGGATGCTGAGACTCATTTCAAGGAAGTCACCGTGGTCCGGGGTTGGTAGTCATCCAGTAAGGCAGGTGTCTAGGGCTGGCAGGCTGAAGGGATGGTGTGTCCACTGGTAGCAATGTCCAGGGATGGCAGGGTCCTGGGAATGTCATTTCTGCTCCACTCACTGGACTTGCTGAGCTGTCTCCGCCTCCACCTATCTTCCTACAGAGCTCCCTTCTAGTTTTCTGTCAATTCTTTGAGCCAGCAAACTCCTTCCAGTACATTCCTTATTCTTTCATGAAATAGCCTGAGTTGGATGTAAATATATATGACCTAACAATCCCACCCCTAGGTGTATACCCAACAGAAGTGTGTACATGTGTTCATCCAGAGAAACGCCCTAAATCTTCACAAAAACTCTCTCCATAATAACCCCAAACGGGAAAGCACCCAAATGCCCATGTTGGTTGGATAAGCACATTAGGGTATATTCATACGATGGAATCCCAGACTGCAATGGGAATGAGCTGCAACTCCACCCCCAGCTTGGAGTGTATTCACCAACCTAGTGGTGAACAAGATAAGGCAAAAATGCACCATAGGATTCCAATTATATAAAGTAGAAAACCCAAAACTCATCCTTGTGGTTGCAAGTAGAGATCAGTCCTAAGAAGATAGTAACCAGAAGAGGGACATGAGGTGGTGGCTGCTTCTGGGATGTTCTGTTTCTTGATCTGGTTGCCGGTTACCTGGGTGCGTTCCGTTTGTGAACATTCTTGGAGCTGTACACTTTTGATTTGGGCACTTTTCTGTGTGTATGTTATACTTTAATAAAAAGTTGGGCTTTGTGACTTGCAATCAAGAATCCTACCTTTTTTTTTTTTGGCACTTTGCTCAAATTTTTACTCCTCTTTAGATACCATTAACATTACATTAATGACAACTAGCATCGCTAGTGGGGCATTTTAAGAGCATGCTTGACATCATTTTAAAGTACAAACTATGATCCTCAGCTATCTGGATGGAGAATAGGCCATCAGCACCACACAGGTGGGGCCCTGTGAACAAGATGCGCAAACTCTGTGGAATTTGTGTCTTTCGGGAAGACAGTGAGGGATCCCCCTGGGAGTTCCCATGTGATGATGGAGATGTTGTCCTCTCAGGCTCTCCCGCCTTCTGACCATCAGGAATGGATGGAGGAGATGGCCTGCTGCAAAACCCTGTCATCAGACACCACCGTTGGGGAGGGAGCCGCAGCACAGGCCCCAGGGGGCTCATCTATGACACCTCTGAATGCAAGCTCAGATACCCAGGTCACCCAGCCCATAGGTGTTAATACACTGGGGCTGGAACACCGATGGCCACTCTGCTCACATCCCTGGGGGCTCTGGCCCTGCTTCTGAACCTCGGATTGTTTCTGAGCATCTCCTAGGGCATCTCTCTTGTTCTCAGCTACCAAGCAGCCTCTGCCATCTCCCTGTGGCAGCTCTGGCGTGTTGAGTTCCAGGGCAATCACAGAGCAGCTTCACGCTGGGACCCCACAACATGAGTCAAAAGGGCTTGCCTCTGATCCTCAGCTCCAGCCCCCATGGAACTCAACCACAAATCTGCCCATTGTCAGCAGCCCCCCTGCTGCTGGGAGCCAGGGGAGCGAGCAAACCAAAGGGCAGAAGGAAGTTTGTTCTGGTGACTCTTCAGATTTGAGATGAAAATAATAAGAGTAATAACAAGCAACACTGATCTGATGTCAGAGGCGTGTGAACCAAAGCAACTCCATCTTGAGTAGGGGCTGGGTAAAATGAGGCTGAAACCTACTGGGCTGCATTCCCAGATGGTTAAGGCATTCTATGTCACAGGATGAGATAGGAGGTCAGCACAAAATACAGGTCATAAAGACCTTACTGATAAAACAGGTTGCAGTAAAGAAGCTGGCTAAATCCTAGCAAAACCAAGACGGCCACAAGAGTGACCTCTCTGGTTGTCCTCCTTGCTACACTCCCATCAGCGCCACGACAGTTTACAAATGCCATGGCAACATCAGGAAGTTACCCTATATGGTCTAAAAAGAGGAGGCATGAATAATCCACCCCTTATTTGGCATATCATCAAGAAATAACCATAAAAATGGGCAACCAGTAGCCCGCGGGGCTGCTCTGTCTACGGAGTAGCCATTCTCTTATTCCTTTACTTTCTTAATAAACTTGCTTTCTCTTTGCACTGTAGACTCGCCCTGAATTCTCTCTTGCACGAGATCCAGGAACCCTCTCCTGAGGTCTGGATCAGGACCCCTGTTCTGTAACACTGAGAAGAACATGGATGATAGCAATCCATTAGACAGAATTATTCACACTTACATCTCCTCAGCTCTTCAGGGGGTAAGACACCAGATCATGGGCGAGGTTTTTTTGTTTTGTTGTTTTTTTCTTGAGATAGGATCTCACTCTGTTGTGCAGGCAGAGTACAGTGACATCACAGCTCACTGCAGCCTCGAGTCCCTGGGCTCAAGCGATCCTCCGGCCTCAGCCTCCTGAGTAGCTGGGACTACAGGTGCACGCCACCATGCCAGGCTAATTTATTTTTATTTTTATTTTTTTGTAGAGACAGGGTCTCACTATATTGCCTGGGTTAGTCTTGAACTCCTGGCCCACCTCTGCCTCCTAAGCACTGGGA